CCATGGAATAATGGCGCGAAATGCAACTGGTATCAGATTAATTATTTACCCTATCGAATATATCAGAGTTTTTGGTGCCACGGTGTAGTATATCTCCACACCCCACTCCACACCCCACTCCCAGTCCGAAACATTCCGTAATTATTTGTGGTGGGGCGCGATAGAATGAGAGCGACCCAACTAGTGGGGACTTTAAGATGCCCATCAGTGTACAAAGAACCGAGTCAGTGAACCGGATCAGTAATAGTCCACCCATCTCTAATAAATAGTGAAGAAGAAGAAGTTTTCTAGTAATCTGTGGTTTAATTTGATGTTTGGGTGGAGGCCAAAATAAAGAAGAAGCAGAAGAAATTTGTGGTTATGTATTTATGTATGTCACATTGTCACTTTATGTCATTTGTAATAGTTTATCTTGTTTATCTCCAATAAATTGTAATATATCCAAATTATGACTAATTATTAATTATACTAAATTATGTTATCAGTTATCTTATTATTACTAAATATATATTCTTAGTAAAAAATAAGAAAGTTTATGTAAGGAGTATGTTCTGTAATCTAAAATGTATTGTGAAATTGAAAAGGACGCGTTAGGTACATTATATGAACTTAAATAATAAATGTGAATTGTTGGAATAAGTTCCTCTATGTATTTACTACAATGATCTACATATACGATGGATATAGATACGATATCAAATTGTTCAAATCTTTCTCTTCAGTCAGAAGAAATAAGATCAAACGAATCAACTCTATCTGGTTTAAGTATTTACCAAGATGAATTTACAGAGTTACGGTACATGGTTAATCCAGCAAAATATCCCGACTATTCATTTAGTAGATGTTCTCCAAAGCAAGATCCTACGTTGAAGTTTAAAGACAGTATTCATTTATCAAATTTGTCACATTTGCAAGATTCTCAGCAAATACATGAAAAATACAAATCTGATTTGTATAATTTGGAAAAAAGCCTTGAACTAAAATATTATGATAAAATAGAAAAATTATTAAAAACTAATCATAGATTACAATCGGAATTAGATGGTGCTAATGAACAAATCGCGCGATTATTAAACAATTATTCTAAACAAAGTACTTCCTCTTTGCTTGACAAAAATTTTATACAGTTGGAAGAAAAATATCATAATTTAACATCGAGATATTCTGAATTACAGCATGAGCAGTTTCAAATGAAGAATCAGAATGAACAATATGAAACTGAAAATAAACACCTAAAGATAGAATTGAGTGAATTAAAAATAGATATTGATACAAAAAATATATGTGTGAAGGAATTAAAAGATAAAATATCTCACCAGTATGTGGAAATTGAAACACTATTAAAAAACAATTTTAAATATTCTCAAACCGTAAGTGAAATCTCTTCAGAGTTAGCGCATCTAAAAAAAACTCAAGATTGGTATAAAGAACGTTTACGTTTAAGTCAAAATGAAAAACAGATATTATCTGAGGAAATATTGAAATGCAAAAGAAACTTGTCCTCACAACATGAAAAAGTAGAGGTTTTAAATGTAGAATTATCAAAGTGGAAAGCAAAATGTGAAGTGATAGAACTTAAAGCTTTGCAAGATAAAGAAAAATTATATAAACAACTCGATTCTGTCCATACAGCAAATTATTCTAAAACTGATCAGTCAAAATTAAATTTTATAGGAGAGGAAAATCAGGCATCTATAATAAATTTCTATGAAACTAGTATTCAAGATTTAACTAATGAAATCATGAAAATTAAAGAATATGTTCAAGAGCAAGATGGCACGATTAAAAAAATTACAAAAGAAAATTCAGAATTAATAGCACGTTGTATAACATTGCAGAAAAGTGTTCAACACAATGAGATAACTATTGAAGAATTGGAGAATATTAAAAAAGAATTATACGCAGAATTGAATGAAATGGAGGTTAAAGTAAAAATAAAATCTGATGAAACAATAGTAAGGGAAAATCAAATATTGAACCTACATGCTGAGTTGAAAGTACGGAAGGATGAGCAGGAGATGGTAGAACAAACTGTGAAAATAATAAGGGATCAGTTCACCATTTTTAAATCCAAATATAGAGAACTGGGAGATGAAATATCTATTAAAAATAAACAAATTTTACAACTTGAAAATGAAAAACAAAAATTATTTATGAACAATAATTGGAACATTTGCGAACTACAAAAAATAAAAGAAAAAGATGCCGTTATAAGTCAGTTGAAAGATGAATTAACTAAAAGTAACAAAACTATAAAAGAACATTTGGATGCTATTAAAACAATGAAAAATGAAATGAACAAAAATCAAGAAAAAAATTTATTGTTACTTGATGAGAAACAAACATCTATCGACAGAGATCATTTAGAAATTCAGAAATATGAGAGTGCTCTAACACAATATAAAATAATGATAACGGATTGTGATAAACAGATTACTGATTTGAAAAAGCTGCTTAAAGAAAGTAACATAAAAATTGCTGACCTTAAAGATAATATCAAAATTCTTAAACAGGAGATCAATAAAAAAGATGTTAATATAAGTGAAATGACTAACAGATATACTACCTTAGAAAGTGAATTTAAAAATCTTCAAAATACGAAATTGAAAATATGTACTAGCAAGTATGAAAATAATGGTCTTAAAACCTCAGAAAATAATAAAGATTCTAAATTTAATTTGCAACATTTTCAAAATTCTATAGACAACACTGGTAATTTAAATAAAGTGAAATTTGAGAAAAATACTGTGCCAATACAAGGTGATTGTAGTAAAGTAACATGTAATAGTAAAGAAAATAAAAAAATAGTACATCCAGTTATACATAATTTTAAGAAAAAAATGGTATTGAAAACTTTAGAGCTGGAAGATAGGATAAATAAGTTGAGCGAAACTTGTAATGAATGTCACACAACTTTAAGTAATATTCTTAATACTATAAAAAGTGGCAATGAAAAGGAGCAAGTGCAAAAATTAAATGTTTTGCTGCAAGTTAAGGACTTGGAACTAAAAGAAAAACAGAAAAAGTAAGTAATTTGTCAAGTCTAACAGCCTACTTGTATATGCATAAGTATGTGTTATTTCAGTCTTACAAAGTAACTTTATAATAATTTTCATATTTTAAAATTTGAATCGACAGCATCAGTTGTTTTAGGTATGAAGCAAATAATCGAACATTGCTAAGAAAGGTCAAAGAACATATGAAGGGTAGAAATGCTGCAGAAAAACATAATAAATATTTACAGGAGATGTATAATTCTTTATCAGACGACAATAATTCTCTTAAACTGGAACTTGCGTCAAAGGATTGTGAGATTGAAAATCTGAGAAAGATGTTGGATAAATTTACTAATATTAATGAAAAATTGAAGATATCAGTATTAAAATTAGAAGAGCAAATAGGCAAAAGTAGAATATGTGAGAAATGTGTTTTATCTAATGAAAAATTCGAGTTTTTAGAAAAATGTATCAAGGATCTTGAAAATGAAAAATTAACTAGCCAGAAACTATTGATGGATAAGGAAGACGTTATAATCAATTTTCAGAAAGAGGTAAGTATTTTATTATTATTTCTTGAAACGGATACAACTGGATACAATATATCAATTTTCATTTACAAATAAATTTAAAAAATGTTTTTCTCTTATTTCTAACTGTGGGAACTAGATTAATCTGTAGTATTCTGTCCTTAGGAATTACGACAGCCAAACAAGCCAACTTTAAAATTTCTTAATTCATACATTTTCCATGGACATCATTTTATTCTGAGCTCATAATTAAAAAAAAAAAGTATGATTCGCCAAGTTTATATAAAGTTATTCTATTAAGAGTGGCTCGTAATTTTCATACACAGTTGTCCTGTTCCAATAATGAAGGTGATTTTTTAATCATTTTAAGGAAAAAGTTCGTAGGAATATTTACAAATTCGATTGAATTAGCTTTAATATAAAGTGAAAGTATAAGAGCTAGTAATGGAAAATGTATACCTAATAAAACAAAGTATAAATATAATTTTGAATTTTCTAATAATTACATAGGTACTGTGCATGTGCAACAAAGTATAACAATTTTTTTGTTTATTTTAATCTAAAAAAAGCTACAATGAGTTTGTTTAATAGAACGAAAGTGATGTGTTGTATCTTGTACCTGTGCCACTGGTTGGTATACAGGGCGATTCACAAACGGCGACCAAAAATGAAACCTCGTATTCTTTGGTGAATTTTAACGGGAGCCTTTCGTATAAAGTTTTTAACCAGGACGTTTCGTTAAAAAGATACTTAAACTTAAAAAAATGTTTTTAATTTTTTTTAATAATTTTAAAACTAGTAAGTGAAATAATTTGAAATTAGGCACATGTATGTATGTAAACATTGTCCAAAATCTGAGGCATTTTCATAAAATTTATATGCTCCAGTGGCGGAGATACAGGGTATCGGCATATTTTTCTAAATAAAATAGTACGCTACTGCTTTTCGGTAACAATCATGATATATTTGCATTCGTCTTTCAATTTTCTGCAAATTATTATTTTTCGAAAAAAGCCCGATTTTTGAGTAAAAAACGAACTTAAAATACTTTTACTTAAATAACAGACAAACACTAATCATTAGGTTACTTATTCGAATAAAGAAATTAATAACTTTAGTCATCATTTTAATGATTTTATTTCAGTGAATGCTCAAAAATACCTCCATTTCCACAAACACAACTTTTTAGTAACAAAAATGTAATTTGTTCAAAATTTATTGTTGCTTGAATCTGATGAAAAGCATTATTTAGTCTTTCTTCTAACTGTTCAGAATGTTATAGTTGCTATCGCAGCCTGCTATGTAATTTTAAACCTCATTTTATTCGAATATCGAAATGTTTTTTTTGTTTTTTAAGTTTTACTCGAAAATCAGGCTTTTCTCAAAAAAATAAGAGAGTAGTAATTTGTAGAAAATTGAAAGAGGAATCGGAAAATAGCATGATTGTTACTGTAAAGCAGTGGTATACCTACTATTTTATTTATGCCACCGATACCCTGTATCTCAGCCACTGGAGCATCTAAGTTTTAGGAAAAGGCCTCAGATTTTGGACAATATTTACGTAAAGACATGTGCCCCATTTAAAATTATTTCACTTACTAGTTTTTAAATTATTTAAAAAAATCTAAAAAAATGTTTTTTGGAGTTTAACATCGTGTTTCTTTTTAACGAAGCGTCCTAGGTTAATACGAATTTATTTTCCTAAAGTAATCAGAAATAACTTTTTTATTATCAGAACATAAGGATAACCTATTTAAAAAAATGTAAGCATATGATTTTGGGTTCCTTATTTTGTGACCCTGTTGAACTTTCAAGATTTTTTCAATTAGTAACAGTTATTCATTAAAATTGGTAGCAACTTCTTTTTTATTATAACAACTCAGCAACAATTTGTATGTATTGTTAGCAGTCATTACACTTTTTTTGTTTTGCCTTCCATATAAGGGACATACTAAAATTAAAAAAAAGACAATTTCTAACATCATCAGAATTAAACACGCACAAAAAGTTTATTTTTAGTCTAATCTCATCTAAACTTATTGTTAGTGAGCTATGCCTTATTTTTTAAAGAAATGCAAAATGGTTGTCACTATTTGTTTACAGCAAATTCTTAGTTCTAATTTTTAGGAGTAGTGCAGTATCTTTTCGCAAATAGCTAGCAATTCCCTACGTTTTTCTTTTTAAATAATGTCTTGCCGCAAAATAAAAGTTGTTGCATCAAATTTTGACAGGTAATTAAAATTACAAAATTTTAAAGTTGGCTTGCTCAATACAGCTTGATTTTATGAATTGATTATAATTATTAATTGTTTTCCTATTTTACTACCAAATTCAAGTAATCATTTGACATAAATAATAATTTCAACAATAGCTAGCACATTTTGAATATATTATGATCTACTTCATGGTTTACTATTCTAGTTATTATTTTATTTTCCAGATCCAACAATTATTAGAGACAAATGTATCCTTAAATAGAAGTAACAGTAAATTAACAGATGAAAATAAAAGCTTCTTACATGACAAAGAGATTTTGTGCAACACAATGGGAACATTAGAAAATGAAATAAAAAAGAAGGTATCACAAGCAGATGAATTGCGTCTTACCTTAAATCAAGAAAAGAAGCAATTTTCTGAAACTGTCCTTGAAAACAGTCACTTAAAAAATTGCTTGGATGAAACGCATGCACAAGTCGATTATCTATCAAATGAAATAAAGGTAAGAATCTGAGACTGGGTGTTCTTGTATAAGTGATAGATGGTAGTATTTTTATAATACTGGGTGTAACGTAAAGGTTGGGAATAAATTAAACGGTGGATTATTTGGTTTAAAAAATAATTTTTTTTCATATGAAGTTATGCTCTACGGGTTTTCTTTTCCAAGCTACAGGGCGCTAAAAAGTTTCAAAAAATTTAGTTTTTCTCCAATAAATTTCGAACATTATAAGATAATGGAACGAAATTTTAGCCTTAGCTTAATTTGATAATCCCCTAGTTACAGGAAAAAAATTGACTTTGTAAGTTACTCAGTGGCGCGCGTACGGATTGTACCATAAGTTTTTTCGAAGAAAATTGTGGTACTCCACTGGTAAAAACATCTTTTTAATATTTGTTTATGATCTACTTTTTATTTTAAACAAAATTACTCTCTTGCGTTCTATTTTTAGCTCTTGTAATTTTTCCGTAAATAAAACTTTTGTAAATACTATTTTATCCCACTGCTCACAGAGGAATATAAAAATAACAAGAGCATTATGAAGTACGCTTTGACTCAGCCACCGAACATGGTCAAATAGGCATTGAAAAAAGATTTTTGCATTGAAAATGATATTAAAAAACTAAATTTTTTGAAATTTTTTAACACCCTGTAGCTTGGAAAAGAAAACCCGTAGAGCATAATTTTATATGACAAATATTTATTTTTTAAAATAAAAAATCCACTGTTTAAATTATTCCCAACCTTTATGTTACACCCTGTATATACATCAAAAAGTAAGTCTGGACAAAGGAAAAAGTAAGTAGCAGAATAAATGAAAATAAAAAGGATTGGTGTTTCTAACTACAGCTTGATCAAACTTGTCCAGTAGATGCATAGATCAAGAAGGTCACTTCGGTACAATAGGAAAAACTAACTTTCAGTTGTATATATTAAAAATATACTTTTGATAATAAGAATTTGAACATTTTTTCTAAATGTTTTTAGATTTTAAGCTCCAGGCTTCAGGTTAAATCTGAGGAGTTGAATCAGCTGGAAGATAACAAATCTAAAATTGAAAATAACTGGAAAGAAAAGCAAAGGGATTTCCAAACTGTTATAAGTACCCTAAAACATTGTGCGCATGACATGCAACTGGAAATCACTTCAATTAACAGTGAAAAATACTTTTTACAAAGGCTATGTAATGACTTAAAATTAGCTTTAAAAAGCCATACTAGTCGTAATAAGGTAAGTAATCGAAAAAGTTATTATATGAACTGAATTTTGTTCTAAATGCATAAAGATTTTCATTTCAAATAACTCCTTTTTCTATCACGTCTTTCATTTTTTACTTCAGAATTTTGTAATAGTGTATCTCCTGGGATCAAAATAAGACCCAATTTTTTAAATATTACTTTGAAACTGTTCCAGTCAGATACTTCTTAGTTGATATATGTCTTTATTTACTTGAGTGTAATATATTTCTGAAATATGTGAGAAAATAACATAGATGTTATTTGTTTTTGGTAACCTTTTTATGTCTAATTTCTTAAAATTTGTTTCTTAACATTTTTTTTGTCCTTTTTAAAATTTTTATAACTGTTATGGATTTTCGAGTAAAACAAAAAAATCTTTGGCTACAGTTTGGTTCAAGTAGTTCTCATAAAGGCTTTGTAGGCTCTGATCAAAACATCTAGTAAATACTTTTTGCCCAAAAAATTCATATACTACCAATTGTCAGATTATACTTTATCCTAATAGTCTGGGCGATTGTAACAAAAATCTACAGGGTGTTTTTAAATGAAGTAGCAAAGATGGTACCAGTGAATGTAGAGCCAAAAATAAGAGAACTGAAGTAAAAATACCTTATATGAAAGTTGTACCCCTGGGCGATATACCCTCTTAAAGGAGGGGATTGAAATTCACATTAAATTTTCTTCTTTAACATGAGGAATACTAGACACGAAACTTGGTATGAGCATCCTACTAATAAAGAGACAACTTTTCAATATTCATTCGATCATTGGCGTATTTTATAAAGGAGTGAAACTGTCAACCCCATTGCAATATTTTATTAGAAATTTTTTATATGAAGCAAATTATTTATTTAAAAATATTTATTGGGAAGATTGATTTATTACGCAACTTTTTTACTTCTTGTAATTTTTCGATAAAACCGATAGTTTTCTAGTAAAAAAATTTGATGCGTCATCGTTCTCTAAAGGGGTAATTGCGAAAAGTAAAAATAAAGTAGGCGGATGTCATAACAAATAAATTGTTATTTATTATATTAATAAATTGACACTTTATGTCAACCAATAATTAGTACCAATTGTTAATTTATTAGAATAATTATGGCAAATAATATTTATACCAATGACGACTATGTCGACATGCTTCATGTGTTTTTCGAATTCAGAAAAAATAGTAACGCTGCAGTAAGATTATACCACCAAAGATATCCAAACTGACCGATTCCTCATAGACAAACATTGGCCTCGGTGGAAAGAATGCTTCGTAAAATTCAGTCCAATTGTGAGGGTGTTGAAAGAAGGCGTAATGTCCGAACTGTTGAAACTGAGGAAGCTATACTGGAACATCTAGAACAAGACTGTGGTAGAAGCACAAGACAGGTGTCTAGGCAACTGCAAGTTTCTCACAGTCTTGTGTGGAATGTAGCTCATGAAAATCGTTTGTACCCTTTTCACCATCAATCTGTGCAAGAATTGAATGACCCTGATTTACCTGTGTGGATTTTTGTCAATGGTACATTAATATTTCCAGGCAAAATTTAAATTTCCTAATGAATATACTTTTCACCGATGAAGCAAATTTTCCTAGAGTAGGTGCAGTAAACCTTCATAATGTTCATTCATGGTCGGAAGAAAATACTCATGAAATATTTGTTTCAAGAGATTATTTCAGTTGAAACGTTTGGATGGGAATTGTAGGAAATACTCTAGTAGGTCCTTTTAGTTTTCCACACAGGCTTGGAGCGGCCGAGTATCTTAGATTTTTGAACGAAAATCTTCCAACATTATTTGAAGATGTACCCCTCGCTACACGTCAGGTGATGTGGTATATGCACGATGGGGCGCCTGCGCATAGTACACTTGCCATTAGAGAATGATTAAATTTAAATTGCCCGCATCACTGGATTGGTCATGGTCGTGATGCCCCTGTTTGTTGGCTTGCCCGTTCACTTGACCTAACGCCTATGGATTTCTTTTTGTGGGGAAACATAAAAAGTATTGTTTATGCCACTCCTGTTGCCTCCTTAGAAAGAGCAATTGTACAGCCAAATCAGTAAATAAATGACTGGTCACATTTGAAAATGCGTTACCGACTATTTAAATAACCGGTTTTCTCTGCTATTTCAATAGTCCTTATAAAATCAATATTTATAATTGTCAATAAATTGCTTTTGTTTAAATCAAAACTGTTCAGAAATAATAATAAAGAAAATACATTCAAACATTGTTCTACAAAGATTCATTGTGTTCCAGTCTAAGCAGAATAACTTTAATATTTTACAATACATAGGTCAATTTAATTTTTTGTGCTTTTTACCTAATTTGCTTCTAAAACATCTTGTATTTGAATATTTATTGTTAGACAAAATTTATGCGGATAATGTTAGGTTGTATTTAATCTATACAGTAGTTTATTTTTTTCACACTGATATCCTATTGTGTTCCTGTTTCAGATGCTACAGCAGCAGTTGCATGTTGCCTTGAAGGAAAAAGATTTCAACAGTTTGCCAAATGTACTGCTAAATATTCCTTGTGATATAAAATATGATGATGATTATATAAACCAATTATTACAACAAAATAAAGCTCCGTTGCAAGTTAAGCCAATTATAGAAATGAAGAGTTGTCTTGATACTCTTAAAAGAGAAATATCAACCTTACAGGAACAGATTGCCAAGAAAAATATAAATTTTTAATAAATTGTAAGTTTACTTTAAATTTTAACTATATATCAAAAGAAAAAGGTATGATCTTAATTAGATAAATGTTATTTAAAAGTTCAGTAAGACACAAATAAGCTTAATTATTTTAGTTGAATAAGTTCTTGCTGTTTTTTCGTGAAAATTATTGCTTTATTTAAAAAAAATAATAAAAAAAAACATCACCGAAAGTATTGTTCATCGCTAGGCACTACTTTTTCCTATATTTTCTGTCAGCATTTTAATTTTATGTCAGAAAAACGATTTATTCTTTGGGGCCATGTGTCATTGATCTAAACTAGTGATAATCGGCTCAAATACATCAATTGTAGGCAATAGCGATCTCCTATGATGGTTTAATTTGGTTTGAGCAGCTCATATTAAACTACACCCAACTGATCCCACCAAATGCAGAGCAGACGCTTGGAACCATGGATATTCGACTTTGCCAATAATGTTGATGCATGGCCAGGCTTGTCCCACGATTTTCCATGCTTAGGATTTATCATAGCAAATCCATTTTTCATCGCCAGTTAGATACGATGCAAAAAATGTTTCCCTTTCTGCCGTTGAAGCAGCTGTTTACACGTTCATGACGTCTCTTGCCTTCAACTCATATGGCACCCAATGTTCTTGCTTTTGAATCATTCTTAATGCTTTCAAACATTTCGAATCTGTTGTGTGATCAACTCCTAATACTTCTGCTAGTTCAGTTTGCATCTGACACGAGTCTTCATGAAGTAATGCCTCTATTTTTTCATCTTCAAATTATTGCACCAAACAGTGGACTAGAGCATCTTATCAAATTATTATTTTTGAAGCGTATAAAATCAATCTCTGCATGTTATTTGTGACCGTGCATGATCGTTGTAAGTCAAAGTCTCAACAAGAATTCTGTATGCTTCAGCTGTAGATTTCTTTTGAATAAAGTCGTGCAGTAAAATTCCCCGCAAATACTCAGTTAGACCTGAATGTTAGACTATAAAAAAGAAGTAGTTTACACTTCAGTGAAATAACATTCACTAAATATTAAACTTGCTTATAGTACTTCTTTGTAGGAGCATTACCATTTTAAACTACAGGCTTGCTGTTTTGGTAACGTCATCTGTTGGAAAACAGCAAGAACTTATTCAATGTCCCATTAGATAAGTTGTTTGTAAAATTTTCTTTCCTTTCTCTTCATCATTGTAGTAGTAGTAGCAGTAGCTGTAGTATCAAAATATGATGATGTTTGTTAATGAATGTCCTCTATAAATATTTAGAGATATGGTTTCGAAGAATAATTATATGACGATCCAAGTAGAACTAATGCATTTTTTTGTAGTGACTAATAATTTGTTTTTTTTTATTAAAAAAAAATAAGTGTTTCATTTACAATTACAATTAAAATGTTATGCACTTATGTTCTTATTATCAAGAGAGTATCTTTACAAAATTTCATTGACCTCACAAAAAATGATATTGGTCCTTATATAGTCTTTGCGAAGATCTTTTTTTGATATTGTGTTTAGCTATTTGGATGTCTATCTACCAACATGTATTGAGTGTGAGATATAACGTGCAAAGTTTGTATAATTTAATGTGTACTTTGTTGGTTATACCTCGCCAACATATCATGCTCTGTATATATACTAATAGACAGGGTGTTTCAGTTTGATATGTCACAAATACGTGAGCATATTTTGGGAATAAAAATAAGAATAAAAGTCTGGTAAACTTTTGTTCTAACTTCCTTCGTTATGAAGATACAGGGTGTTGAATTTTTTCTATAAATTAAAATTTTCTTTCATAACTTTTAAACAGATTAAGATATTGTTATCAAATTTGGGGTACTGTGTAAGCCGAGGATATTGCATTTGCTGCCAAAATATGGCTCTTTAAAATTAGGCAGTGGCGTAGATACAGGGTGAGTCTGTCACTTTGTGCAATATAAATATGTGACGCCACTGGTTAAATTTAAAAAAGTGATCATTTCATAATTTTACAATTCATTTTTAATAAAAATGGTCTCTTTCATTTTCTTCGTGTCTCTCATAGTTTAGTCACAAATTGAAATGTTTATGTGGAGCAAAATTGTGCTATTCGATTGTTAACTGCTATTGAACATATTAACTACAATAAGTAATATGATATTTTGCTTAATTTTGAAAATTTCTGGCGCAGTAATAATTTATGTATCCTATTGCCATAATCTTAAGAAGAAGTATGTAGTAGTACTTAACACATTATTTGTCCTTTTTATTTAATTAAGATAATATACATATGATCAAAATTATTATAAGAAAACTTCATGTCAGATAAAATCAAAACTTGTTTCAATATAATTTATTATTATTAAATATTAGACTCCTATCTAATAAAAATTTACAATAATTGTTCGAAGTGCCGTCCTTGAACTAGGATGCACGCTTCAGCTCGACGTAATAACGATCTCCGAACTCGTTCGAAAATCCCTGGGGTATTTAAAATTGCTCTACAACTATTTTGTATGCGAAGCTGTAGATCTTCAATACTTTGAACCTCTGTTTCGTATACCAAACTTTTTAAGTGACCCCACAAAAAGAAGTCAAGGGGGTTCAGGTCAGGCGACCTTGCTGGCCAAGCTACATGACCCCCTCGAGCTATCCACCTATTTGGATAGGTGTTCTGCAAATAATTCCTGGCAGCTAAACTGAAGTGGGCAGGTGCCCCGTCCTGCATAAACCAGAGCAATACTCTTGTTGCAAGTGGAACCTCTTCCAACAATCCTGGTAGGATTTCCTCTAAAAAATGCCTATAGGCTTGGCCGGTTAAACGGTTTGGCAAAACATGTGGCCCGATTAAAATATCGCCAATAATACCACACCAGATATTTAGCGAGAACTGCTGTTGATGCGTACCAGCGACAGTCCAATTAGGGTTCTCGTCAGCCCAGTAATGCATGTTGTGTGAGTTCATTATGCCATCTCTTGCAAAACTGGCTTCATCAGTAAATAATATGTGTGCTACAAAGTTAGGCTCTTCTGCACAACGGTTCAGCAGCCAGCGACAAAATTGTTGTCGAGGTGGATAATCTGCTGGAGTCAACGCTTGCACCTTTTGAAAGTGAAATGGATACAGCTGTTGATTACGAATTGTGCGCCAGACCGTTGTATGACTTACGCCCAGTTCAGAGCTAATTTTTCTGGTGCTTGTCGTTGGTTCCCTTTCCACCATTTGAAGAATCTGATCTTCAAAATTTGGTTGTCGGGGTCGCGGTCTCTCAATAGCCCCTATACGAATTCCTCTTTCCCTTAAACGCGCGTCAACTGCCTGAAATACCCTTCGGTCAGGAATTCTTCTCCCAGGAAAGTTTTCTGCGTACAATCGTCTAGCTTCAACAGCATTACCCCAGGCTGCACCATACATCAAATGCATATCTGCATACTCTTCATTTGTGAATGCAACCTGCGCCATTATTGAAAAACCACATATACATAAACTGCATAAACGCTATTTATCATAAACATTAACTGTCACATTCAAAACTACATAATAAATTGGATTTTGTTTTCACGGCATACTGAATTCAGAAGCATTGTCGCATGTTAACACAGTCGTCGAAAAACAGACTTCTATGAATATCCAATTTGTGACTAAACTATGAGAGACACGAAGAAAATGAAAGAGACCATTTTTATTGGAAATGAATTGTAAAATTATGAAATGATCACTTTTTTTAATTTAACCAGTGGCGTCACATATTTATTTTGCCCAAAGTGACAGACTCACCCTGTATCTACGCCACTGCTTAATTTTAAAGAGCCATATTTTGGCAGCAAATGCAATATCCTCGGCTTACACAGTACCCCAAATTTGATAACAATATCTTAATCCGTTTAAAAGTTATGAAAGAAAATTTTAATTTATAGAAAAAATTCAGCCCCCTGTATCTTCATAACGAAGGAAGTTAGGACAAAAGTTTACCAGACTTTTATTCTTATTTTTATTCCCAAAATATGCTCACGTGTTTGTGAAATATCAAACTGACACACCATGTATTTTAAATATATAAATATTTCAGAGATGCCAAAATCTTATTTTTAGCAAAAACTGAACAAATATTGGTTACCGATATTATAAATAAATGGCTGAAGTAAACTTTTTACATATTGTTATAAAGCTGCGATACTTTGATCAAAATGGAAAACCCTAACACATTACATCAGGCGATAGCTATTCTTCTGCATCTGTTAAGGGTATTATTATTTATATTAATTTAATATAGCAAGTACAAAGTAGTTTGCATATGTTTCTGATTCCTTTATAATAATATAGAATTTTTCAGATTAAGATCAACCTTTTACAAAATATTTTCCAGTATGTTGATGCTTTAATTAATGTAAACATAATATTTATTTATAAATTTTTATTGGGTTTTAAATATGCTAACCAATTTACTTACAATAACGTCAAAAATAATGGTAAAGGTGATACTTTCTAGTCGTACAATTTACACTGAAACTACCTATTTTCACCTGCCTTGTTACTATGATTATTAAAATATAAAATGTATATTTTTGTTACTTGATTTTATGATTTTAGCCATATTTTACTATAGAGGTGATATTATAAGGTATTAAGTGTACTTAATTATTGTTATAAAATTTAGTATTTTTACAGAGGTTGATATTTTAAAATATTATTAACTTTAATTTGCCCAGTTGCAGTCTTTGTTCTTTCAGTTTTATACTGTTACTTTTTATTGAATTTATTTATAGATGTATATTGTCAACCCTTTTTATTTATTTTTTTTAAGTCATTTATTTCATGTAATTAACCAGTGATAGTTTTTATTAAAGTTCTTGGGTACATACAATTGTTTTATTTTCTACATTTATAGTTATTTCCAAGAATAAGAAACGAATGTCATTTTTTTTTAATGTGAAGAATTATTGTTTGAAGTTATTTAACTTGTGGCATTTAAAATAAACATTTTTTCAAATTCTATGTTCCAAAAAAAAGGCACTAGGCCTTCCAAAATT